TTTATATTCTAGCTTGTCAATATCAGTAATTTGAGTTTCTAATTCGTACAAAACTATAGACTTAGTATTTTGACTTCACAAACATCTAATTTGAACCAGACACACAAAATTCAATGTTTAACAGCTTTTTTAATATTTAATTTTAAATTAAGAAATCGAGTTATGTATAATACTAAAATTTGAATTATAATCTACAGTTTGATACCAAACTTACTGAAATACATTCATGAAATAGTAGTTCAATAAAGTTTGAATGTGAGTCAACAAACATGATGACATAGCCTTTCACCCATAAACCGTTTGAAAAATGTTAAATAAAGCTGCTAGAATTTGAGGGTGGACTAATGCTAAAGCTGATATTTTGAGACTGAGAAAAGCAGGAGATATAAAGTGATACACTAAGACTTATGGCGAATTGCCTGAAACTGCAGGTTTCCAGTATTTAGCACATAGGTTTGTAGAAAAATATAGAAAGCGAGAAACAACAAGCACACTTCTGACACAGAAACATAGCTTAACAAAGTAAAGAGGAGAGTCAGTTCAAATTTTCGGGCATATGCTTGAAGAGCTAGGAAACAGATTACGCAGACATCCAAATAAGATAATGATATAAGATACCTCGAAGTCAGATTATGAGTAAGGTTTAATCAGTAAAATAACATGCACAAATGTAAATGAAGCAAACATGTCTGACGCAGTTTTACTGGATTTGACTAAAGTAGCTACACAAGAAAAGCTACGTGAAAAACAGATCTATAAGCCCTAGATCTTTAATATAAATATAGTGAGTAGCAATAACAACAACGTTCTAACCCTATCGCCATGGATATCCTTTATTGAGTATGACACAAGGTTTTTGTGTCTTACATTCAAAATTTTATTAAACAACTTTTTATTTATGTTATACCAATTAGCTAATAATCATATTTTGATAGTAAATAAGTTTTACGTTCTTAATTGTATAAGGCAATATTTAAAAAAATCATGAATTTCCCCTTGTGTAACACACGTCACATTTTCCCTAGGTGTTGTCTCTATTTTTATCCATCACCCCTCCAAAAAGTACAAAATTCAATGTAAGTTACTTACTATAAAATCATCATTGCTCAGACATACCATAATTTTTATAGCCTTCAAACTTGTTTGGTTACAGAGCTATCAAATAGAAAATCAGACCCATCTTCTTTGCTAATTGCAGAATTAATAAATAAAAATCCAACATTGTTAAAGAATGCTTGGAAGGAAATAACTAAAAGTATCTTAACTTCTATGACAGGACGTCCGGTTAAAATGCTAGATAAGTATATTGTTCAATAAACAATTATTCAATACTTACTGAAAACCCTACCACTAAATCTTTTTCAAGTACTCACCCATTATTTCTTATAAACATGACAAAAACCTAAAAGAAATCCTGGCCCACAGTATCCTTAAACAAAAACAAAATGATACTCCAGGCACTCACACATGTAAACAAAACATTTGTGTCACATGCCACATATATACAACACTGCACACATAAAAGGAAAGAACACAACTTTCAACATAAGACAGTCCTTCACACGGACCACTGAATGCATAATTTACTGCATAATTTGCAATAGTTTATACATTGGACAAACAGGCCGCCAACTTGGTGATCGAGCATGAGAACATTTAAACCATATTAAACTGCACAACCAAGATACACCTACAGGCAAACATTTCACCATCAACAACCATACATTTGAAGACTTTTTGATCCTTGGACTTGTTAGTGCTCCAGCAGACATTCACAAAAGAGAACGACTGGAAAGGAGATTAAACTACAATATGAGGATCCTACAACCAATGGATTTAAATGAATGCTCTTCATTCCTGTAGATTTTTGTTTAAATTTTAATTGCTATCTAGTTATCTTTTCATGACATATAATTTGTATGTAAAAGATGTAATTTTGCTTAAAAGTTTCACACTCAACATTCCAAATACTATACATGCAAGTTCTTTGAATTCTGCACATGCACCTTTGTTGTAAACTGTATGATCTAACAAAGTGCGGTAGCTCAAAACGTCATCCTTTCAGAAAAAGAGAAAGTCAACTGCAGAATTCTCCAAAGGGACATGCTTTCAAGAAAGAAAGTCTCATAGGAGAAGAGTAAACCCACATCTGATGTGATCATAACATATCAAAACATTCCCATGATTGAGGAAAATGAACCCTCTCCACCAATACCACCAGCCATGATAACAGTAACACCAAAGAAGCTACTAACTGTTTATCTCATCTATCAACCAGCTAGTTCACTAACCTTCATTCCAAGTCATCTTTCAGCAATCTGACAAAATCTCAATCTAAGGCCATGATATGAACTAAGGCCTAAACAAACCAGTGTAAAAGATGAAGAACTAGCAATGAAGAGAAGAATACCCCAACATCAGTGCCACAAAAGAAATCAGTCAACTCTGAATTCATATAGCCAATTTAGAGAAAATTGTGTCTACTGAAGGCAATACTCCTCCAGCTTCTGTGGAAAGTCTGTTCTTCTTGCTTTAGCCCAACCTATATTTACCTCTACAAATATGCATATATATTTATATAATAGGTTTTTAAAATGTACAGTGTGAAAGTTAAAAGATATAATTTCAACTTTTTTTTCCCCATAACTGTATAATACTATAAGTAAAATTTGAATGGTCAGAGCTGATAAAAGTGTTTAATGTTTAAAAAACATATATATATCTATGTTAAAAGGTCAAAAGGTGAAATAGCTAAATTTATAAAATTGCCAAAATTAAAATGAAAGAATGTGTGTACATTAGTATGTAACATTAAAGTAAAATTCTGGTGCTATTTTAAAGTTCTACCTTATAAATAAATAAGAAAGGCTACAAAGGGCTATCTAACCTTTATATTAGTTACACTAGTAAAGCTTGTATGCGTATGACCTTAGATATTTTTTTGCTTATTTGTTTGTTTTCAATATTCAAGCAAAGATACACAACAACTAGCCATCTAATTTTGAATCAACAGGCTAGAGGGATTGCAGCTAGTCAACAAACACCCACTGCCAACTCTTTGACTACTATAATCGAATAGAGTGATTCAACTATCACTCTTATATGTTCCACAACCCCTAAACATGGAACACAGTTTTGGGTTGACAGAATACAAACCATGAACTCTTAAATTCAGTCTAGAATGCTAACTTCTAGGCCATACCCTTTGTCTCTAATAAAACCTGTCTGTTTTGTACCTCATTAAATGTGTCTACTGGAGTTATAATTATTACTTTATTTGAACCTAACCTGGTGACACTTAAGTTAGCACATATCCTTCATATTTTATTCTCTACAAGGGAATTCTGATAAGACATGAAAAGAAGAAGTTGGTTTGAATTTTTTTACATGATATAAGCATTTATGTTTACTGTGTGAAACAAAAAAAGCAAAGATATTTCTCAGTAATTACAAAGTTTAACAAAAAAAAGTTTACTTGAAATAAGTGTTAAAAAAAGATTGCTCAATCATCAGTAACTTTCATAAAATAAACAAATATTTTTGAACATGTATGTTTGAATAATTAAAAGGAATTTCTAAATTATCTATTAATTCACATCTTAACTTATATTACAACCAACTTACTAGATGGCACTGTTGTCACATCCATCAGACCAGAGGAATTGTTTTCATATCTCACTAATGCATCAGTTTCTTGTTCCTGTTGAGATACAGACATTTTTTTTGCCAATAAAAGTAAGTTTTTAGTAGCTCTTTTCCACTTATTTTAACAACTTTGTTGTATTAAAATTATTTAACTGGATGTGATCAGATTGCAATACTCTACATCTAAATTGTGGGTTTTCCCAAACTTACTATAACAAATTCTTTACTACCCACATAATTTATCAGGGAATAAATATATTTGTGTTTCTACATTATACATCCTATGCTGTACACACAAATAATTGTAAACAAATAAAACAAACTTATATATGAAACCACATGTTTATAATTTGAAATGTAAACATTTCCATATTACAGTCTATACACTGTAAAACACGCATCTTTTAAAATGTCCGTATGGTACTTTTGTCTGTTTGTCATTAAGCACAAAGCTACACAAAGGGCCATATTTGCTCTGCCAACCACATGTATTGGAGTCTTCAGACTTACCACTGAGCCACTGGAAGGCCCTTGTGGTACTGAAAAGAAATATTTAGTTTTTAATACTCAATTAGGGTAATTTTAAACCTAATGATATTGTAAAGAAATGTTTACCTTTAATATTGAATTACAGTAATTTTATACCTTGTGGTATTAAAAAAAAATATTTAGTTTTTAACATGAAATTAGGGTAATTTTGTATCTTGTGGTACTGAAAAAAACATTTTTAAACATGTAATTAGAATACTTCACACCTTGTGCTACTGGAGAAAAGCTTTAGATTTTAACACTAAATTAGGGTCATTTCATACCTTGGGGGGCTGAACTTGAGGGGACAAAGGTGAAAATCTGAGAGTTTGGATTCCTGATGATGCATCTTCTGTTTGGAAGCCCTTCAAACCATTCAATGTCTCTTCAAGACTTCTCTTGATCTTCTGATAAGCATCCTTTTGTGAAGGGACTGGGATAGGTTCAGATGGGTGGGTTGGTTTGCTGGGTGCAGTATAATTATCAGTTGGGGCCACAGAAGTAGTAGTGGAAGGTAGGCGAAGAGTTGTAGGTGGTCGACTAGGTAGAAAGACATTTGCTGTCTTAACTGAAGGGGCAAGAGTTGTCAGTTTTTTCACTGGAGGGGAGACTGATGACACAGGTCTGGGTAGAAAGCTAAAACACAAAACAAAGAAATAAAAGGTTATTACAAAAACATTTATTTATTTCAGACTAATACTAAAAATATAAACTAATCTTAGAACAGAGTTTGTATATGGCTACCCAAAACTAACTTCATAGTTCTCAAGAATATATATAAATAAAATCTGATTAAAAAATGTTAGTAAATGTGATATCCCATTTTTTAATCAGTTCTTTAATATAAGATATTCACACTTTTACACATACAGGCTTCTCCCATGAGTTTATTTTATATTTTCCAGGTGCTTGTTTGCTGTAAATTAAACATTAAGAAAAAATTGACTTATGAATCAACTAGTACTTTAATACTAAAATGGAGATGCTATCTTTTGGCTTACAATTTACTGCCATCTTTCCTAAAAATTATTAAATTGTAAGATTTGTATTTTTGAGGAGTTTTTGCAACAGTTGTATAATCAACCTCCAAAACACGATAATAACGAATTATTTCACATTATACTTTTAAATCTCTGCAGAAGCTGTTTGAGTCTAATCTTTCCACAGGACCTGATAATAATGAATTATTTAACAATATTAGACTTTCAAATCTCAGAAGCAGCTATTACACCAGTTGTCTAATCAACCTCCAGGACCTGATAATAATGAATGATTCAATAATATTAAACCTCTAAGCCTCGCCAACAATGAGCTTCAAGCATGAAAAAATATCGCCAAAGTTAAAATACTGAAACCTGATACAGAAAATACTTTAGTTTTAACCAAATCAGAATATCTTAATAAAGTTGAAATTATTTTTCAATGATACAACTGCATACGAGTCTACAAATATTAGAAGTACTAGACTAGAGGGAAGGCAACTAATCAACACCACCCACTGCAACTCTTGGGCTACTCTTCCCTAACAAACAGTTGGATTGACCATCACATTGTAGACCATCCCAGTGGGTAGACCTTAATACTAACAAGTATGGAGACCTAAGGATGATGAATTTCAGTTAAAATTTTATCAATTAACCCTATTGTCATGGATATCCTTTACTGCATATGACACAAGGTTTTAGTGTCTTATATTCAAAATTTTATTAAACTACTTTTTGTTTACATTATACCAAAGAGAATAACATAAAATCTTAGCTAATAATCCATATTTTAATAGTATACAAGTTTTAAATTCTTAATTCTACAAGGCAATATTAAAAAATCCTGATATTCCACTAGTGTCACCCACGTGACACATTTTCTCTTAGCATGTCATCATCCCTATTTTATCCACCACCCCTCGAAAAAATATAAAATTAAACGTAAATTACTCTCTATAAAATCATCATTGCTCAGACAAACCATAATTTTTATAGCCTTCAATTTTGTTTGGTTACAGAGCTACCGAATAGAAAATTAGACCACTTCTGCCACACCCACCTGTCATATCCTCTCTTTCACAATTCGTTGATAGTTCTCTCTTACGTTTCATTATATATTACCTGTAACCAATATAAACTCAAGATTTTCATTTATCAAATGACATATTGTACAATGTTACGTTCTAAGCATTTAGATGTCAATTTCACTTTGAGTACCAACATCTTTCCCATGGGAAACTTAACGACTAACTTGGATGAATTTGTAATGGCTCTTGTCGCATAGTTTGAAAGCCAGGAAAATTTTGAGATGCAAGTTAAGTTGTCTACCTTTTACATGTTATTAGTCTATATTCTTTGGTGCATTACTACAATAGCTGTAAGAAACCAGGCTTAACTGTCCTTGACAGTCGAGGGCAAGAAAAAAGAAGATTGGTTTAGTATTTTATTTCTTGTTTTTCATGCTTATTCTTTATGTATAATTATAAAAGTAACTAAAATGTAAAAATAGGGATCCTTTTATGTTTGTTAAGATTAGATTAAGTAAAATAAATAATAATATTATAATGAAAATGTTTCATGAGGCACACATGCGAGCAGTTCGTGGGTAATGTAATTTTTGTTAGCATAATGTGGACTGCACATTCCCTTAGTGAGTTACAACTTATAATGGTGCAGATAGTAGTTGGACATGGTTCAAAGGGCAATAAAACAATAACATTTAATTATAAATAGATGTATACTGTTATGAACTTAGAGCTACTTAGCATAAAGGAATGTAGTTTTTCATGTTACAATTTGAAGGCATTCTAGAAAGAAAAAATGGGTAATTTAGGTTTATTTTGATTTTTTCTTGGTGCTTACGAGGTTGGTTGAATTGACCAATTCCGTTTTGAGATAGGGTAGAGAAAATAACAGATAAACTATAATATTTTAGTGAAAAAAAAACGTTTGAAATGCATTTAAGAGGTTTTAGGGATTACACAAAGGAAATTTGAGATTTTTGAGATGAGAAAAGTATTTTTAATTTTAACATGAAAATCACTTGAAACACAGACTATTCAAAACAAATATTCAATATATTCATGGACAAATCTTTGTTTTATTTTATTAAGAATACTTCACTAAAAAGTATGATTTTTTGTATGTGAAAAACTTATAATATTAGCTGAAAGATTGCCAAATTTTGGGAAGATATACACACTATATTGAAAGTTAGAAGTATTAAATCTATTAAGATTTGACTGACTACATGACCTCTCTGTACTCGTATAAAGTCTTTATAGATTTGTCACTACTAACTTTTAATATAGTGTGTATATCTTCACAAGATTTGGCAGTCTTTCAGTTAATATTATAAGTCT